CAAATGTTTTCCTTCAAGTTCCCCAAACAGGATATAGGCCCCGTGTGTGCCTATTTCTCCCCTGGGAAATCTGGTATCAGACTTCAGCTGGAATGGCACACTTATTTAGAGAGGATTTTTTCCTCAATAACCTTGCTCAATAAAGAATTTTCTCTGGAGAAGCAGCTGAGTTGAGATCTTTCTTCTGCACAGAGGAAACATGTGTATGACTATTATAGAACTGGTTTATTCTCAATTGAAAGTTTATAATGAAAAATTGCTCTTCTACAGGAAAGTAGAAAAAAAAAATAAAAAATCTGTACTTAACTCCACAAGAAAGATGATAAGAATATTGTTCTTTGGATATTGTCATCCATCTGGAGTAATATCTGTCAGATCTCTTTTACCAGACTGTTTCTACAACACTCAAAATATATGACAGAGGTATGTCATGACTTTTTTCTGTCTGTGCTTAAAAATAATTGTGTGTCATCACACTTGGGAGATAATTATTACCTCTCCAAAAATAACAGCCTTGCAGATTGTCCATAATTTTAATCTGGCAGTTTTCAAATGATTGTGTGTGCAGACAACTTGAGCTGTGTGTACACACACACATACATTCACAACCCAAAATTACACACATACATATATGCATGTAATGTGAATAAAGCAGTGAACACATGAACAGATTTACTGTTATTTAATAAAATGATAACCTGTAGCATTAAAGGAGGCTAAATACATAAATATAAAATGAGTATAAACGTGAGAAAGAGTGTTTATAGTTACACATATATAGTAGTATGAAGTTCAAAGGAAGAGCAAAGAGCCAAATATCACTGGCATGTAATTCAAAATGCCTAAACTCATTCATTTACTTATGCCAAGGCAAGAGTTAGTAGCATGTGGAGTTGTAATTGGAAAGGATTAATCCATGGAAGGTAATAACAATGTTTAAATAACCTCAAAATAGACTTACAAACCTTGCGTTAAATAACTTTAGGTTGTACAGGTAACATGGTCAGGAGAAAAAAAAAAACAACTTCCTAATTTGAAAACTGAAAGAATGTGGAAGTTATTAATTGTAAGAATGAAAAAAAGAAGCCCCATGCAAGTGTGAAAGACAGCAGCAAGGATTCAGTCCTTCTGCAGGTCTTCAGAAAATTAGACAAAGTCAACATATATTCAAAAACCCTTGGAACTACACAAAACTGACTCAGTTTTCACACTGACAATTGCAAGCTCTTGGCCCAAGGCTGTTGTGAATCATCCCCAGACAATTATTTTTTTTTTATCCCCATAAATAACCCAGCTAAACAACAGCAAGTAAAACCTGGGGAGTAGAAGCTTTAACTGGTGACACCGCTCACACGACAGAGCAGAAAACACCCCAAAAATTGGCACCTCAGGTTTCTCTGTGCAGCAGAGCACCACTCTTGAGCTGCTGGATGAGTTTTTGACTCTATTATAGGTACAGTGACACAGCCTGCCTCTCACTCTGTGGCTCCTGCCTGTAAGACTGAGAGCTCCAGCTATTCCCAGGATTGAGCCTGAGGACCAGTGGACCTGGAGAGAAACTGAAAATGAAGCCTTTCCAGTGCACAAGAGGGAAAGCCAGGGGCAGGAAACCTTTTCAGGAGACTGGGAAAGGATGGGCACAACCCTTGTGCATGGAGAAACCTCGTGGGAAAGCAGAGGGGTGTGAAGATCAGTGCCTGACACCGTGCTGGCTGCTCCCAGGCACCACCAGCAATCAGTCCAGCAGCCCTCACCGGCCAAAACTGCTTTACTGGGCCATTTCCAACCAAAATTGGATGCCACAGGAAGTGACTCTGCAGCTCTCCTCCCTCTGAATCAGTGCTGGAGCTGTCAGGCACCCCACAGCAGGACCTACCACAGAAGATGTTAAATCATTTGTGGTCAATTAGCAACCATGTGCCTCTTCCAGCCTGCAGCTGTGGCTCAGCTCCAGGAGCTTTCTTACACCTAGTGCTTGCCCTAAAGGCTTGATGCATTTTCTGTCTCATTCCTCTGTCCTGAAGCCTTCACTGCCCTGGGACTCCAGCCACAGATGTAAATGCAAGGGGGTGTAGTTATGATTTATGCCAGAAACACATACCCTGCTGTAAATACAGCTACGCCCAAGAGACATGAAGAGTTGCTCCGCAGTACAAGCAGTGCTCCTTGCCATTCCACAGCTGTTGTGGTAGGATGGGAGATAGGCATGGATTTTCCTTCCCACGTATCACTGAGTGAACGAGACAGTTTTGAAGTAAGTGCAGCTCCAATGCCTTGTGGAGGGAGAGGAGAGAAGGAATCCCACATACAAACCCCTGGCCCTGAGCTCAGGTTTGGAGAGCATCCCAGATCTGACTCAGAAAATGTGAGTCTTCTGCAGGTTGCTTAATCCCTGAATGCTTCAGAGCCCTGGAGCAGTGAAACACAGCAGGTAGAGGAGTGGGAAAGCTGTAAAGAGGTCTTTTAAAGAAATATCAGGGTTCTCTAAAGAAAACAGTAGTCAGTGGATGTAGCAGTAATTATTCGTTATTGCAACATGACGGTTTCCTTGGATTAGAACAAATTGATATATTCTTAACATTCACCTGCTCATTTTATTTAAGGCAGAGCATATGCAAGAGGCAAGAGTTACACTTGAAAGTTTCCCATCCAAACAAGGGGTTGAAGCCTTTAAAAACTATCAGCCATGTGTGGTGCACAGCCTTGGCCTGAGCAAGGTGCACTTTCTTGCTAAAATTCACCATATGAAAATGCTGTGGCAAACTCAGATTGACATTTAACCCTTTGTGATGGCTTGGATTTAGTAAATATTCTTGTGCTCAGAGTGATAGGCAGGAAAAAACTAAAAAACAAAATTAGAGCTATGCACCCAAGTAATAGTTTAAAGAGGGATTACCATCTGGAGCTAGAGTATAGCATCACTGTGTCTTAAAGAAAGAGTGAGACAAAATTGGGGTGAATTTTTACTTGTTCATTGCCCTCAGTCATACAAATAAGGCATGAATTTAAAATCAGTGGGTGATTTTTATCACTAGACTCAGGATGTTGCCTTCAACCTGCCTTAAAAGAGCTCTTCCTAAATAAAAAATTACAAGAGTGCAATAGTAATGGTGATAATAATGATAATAACAATAATAACAATTATGATGATAATAACAATAACAATAATTAATAATCTATCCATAAAATAGTAATTATGTTCCTAGTCTATAAAAGCACTAAACTACTTCATTAATGCTGAATATCAAAAATACACTTGTTTCAGACTGGAGTCTGCTACACCCTAAACTGTTACATTCTATTTTAGTGAAATTTTGCATCTAATAAAATATTAATAATATTTTGTATTTTGTGGCTTAAAACCCCTCACAACCAACACCTCACAGTTCATCATACTACACTGGGTCTGTGCGTAAAGAGACCACCATTTTTATAATCTCATAATCAGTCTTAAAGAAAAAACTCAGCACTGTAAATTGCCACAGGGAGAAAAAAAAAGGAGAAAGTGTCTCCTGGAATGTGCATCTACAAGTGTTTTATAAATAAAGAGTGACACAGTTTCCCTTTATACTGCTTAAAATCTCAAGTCTTCACAAATTCAAGTCCCCCCTTCAAGGGTTTTGCTTATCAGGCTGCATCTTACAAACATTTGCATACCTTGCCCTGTTCTGAAGACCTTTCCAGACCTCCACCATTTGGGTGGCTAGAAAATTTCTCTTAAAATTCCAGTCTAAACTCATACATGATCAATTTACAACCATCTGATGTGCTGCCAGTATTAGTTTAAGATAATTTCCCCCCTCTCTTGACGTGTAGCCAGTTGGAACACATTTACAAAAAGCTCCTGCATTGCCTTTTTTTTAGCACACTGAACCAAGACACACTTTCTAATTTGCTCTCTAATGAAGAAACTTCACTCTTGTCATCATCTGAATAACCCTACCTGACATTCACTGCAGTTCAAGATCACAATCTTTCTCAAAGGGCACAAGAAGAGAAAATAAACAGTTCAGAACAGTAAAGTTATTGACACATAACACAGATCTCTCTCTGCATTTTATATCAAATGACAAGACCCCATTTAAAAATAATTAATTGAAAGGCTTTGTTCTCTTTACACTACTCAAAGTAGACTTCAGGCAGAGGTTTTGCCTAATTTTTAATTTTATCATCATCTAGTCTTGAATTGGGAATACCTATCAACTCCTTACTTAAAAAATTGATACAAATAGAAATGTTTGTAAACCAAGAGCCCCTTTAATGAAAGCAATGACTCAAATAAAAGTAATGACTTCCATTTTACAAGAGCAGCTCCTCCTTATCTCTAAAAGATTCTTTGTTGTTGGTCAGAAAATCCACCAGCATTTCTCCCAGTCTATATCTGTCCCACAATACCATGAAAACATAAGGAAAAAACTCAAAAATCTTTACCCTTGCTAGGTATTTGGCTGTTCTAACAATAGGGGAGGAAAGACAGGGGAAAGAAGAGATGAGGGACAGACATTTCTGAAAACTAGTCTGTGATTTAAATTCTGGAAACCTTGGCAGCATCTGCTAAAACTCTGCAAAATCTTCAGTCCATCACAAGCTGCCTTTTATGGTCAAATTGGTGATAAAGTCCAAATTTTCACCACCACCATGTGTTCCAGGCAAGTGTGGCCTTATCCTGCCTGTGTCACATTCCTGTGATCTCTGCAAGGTTGAAGCACGGGTGTTGGAAAGGAAAACCCTCTGTATATATATAATATACACATATAAATATATATATATATATATATATAAAATGTGCACCAGTGAGTAGCCAGAAAAAGGAATGACCTTGCAAGTTTTAATAATTTGTTTGAGATGGGCTTCTCTGAGGCTGCCAGAATCTGCATTCTCCTCAATTCATCCAAGGTTTAGCTCTCCTTGCCTTTAACAGCCAACTCTGCACAGTTGTTTACAGATTTTAAATGATTTTAATTTTTTTTTTTTTCCTAAAAGTATTATTTTAGCAGATTACCAGTACAATCCCATTCCATAAAACTGGCTATCAGAAAATTTCACAGGTACTCAGAGAAAACTGTACAGGAACCATAGTCCACTGGGTTGAGCAAAGGATGCCTGGTAGTGAGGAATAATTACGTTTTCTGGAAGAACAATTGCTGCAATGAATCCTAACATTTTTTTTTTTTGTTTTGAAATAAGTATTATTTCTCCCTCTTTCTAAGAGGAAGCAGGGATTTAGTTTGATTGTTGTCTTCCAGTACAAATTATTACAAAAAAATACATTTTTTGCCTTTATGTTACTTATGATTTGCCTCCAAGGGTCAGTCTGTTCTTTAGATCAGGTTTTGCACAAGGGAACTGTTGGAATGAATACCCATGAACCTGATAAGCAGTGTCAAAAAACAAATTCTGCAGTAATTTCCTCCTTTGGGCATCACTTCCACTCTCTTCTGAGAGTTCTGTGGAGACATCTTTGCTGGTAGGTGTCTGAATAAATAATACTCCTTTCAATTGGGATCTCCAGAATAGGTGCAAATGCTGTTTGGCTCATACACTGAAACATAGAATAAAAGGAAATTAATTGAATTAGTTTATGTCTTTTCCCTCTAGGAAATAAACTAGTTACACCTAGTGAATGTAATGAGCCTGTAACAAGATTCAGAGAGAGGAGAGTTAGGGCAGTATTTTGTTTTTAAGAACAACTGAAAAATGAATGGCGAACAGAAACCACAACAACAAGACAGGGTTAAAATCAAATATTTGTATTCCTGCTGAAATTAAGACATTGTGAAATAAACCTGATGGCTACTTCCTTGAGGATGCCTTGTTTTTTGACCAGTAGTAGATTGGAAAATGCTGGCTGGGGAGCGTAGCACAGCCAGCCACAAACCCCAGCACAAGAGTCCTCCAGAGGACAAACAAATCATGGATTTTCCAATGAGACTGTGAGCCCCAGAGACTTTCCTCAGAGGCTGAAGCTTGTAAGAGCTGTCCTTTGGCCTATTCCACCTTTACTTCTTTTTAATATTAACGGTAAAACAGCTTCAGAACAGCTGAACTCTGTGGATTAAGGAAAGTAAAAACTTTCTTTGTCACACAGAAGAAAAGCTGACAGCATACAAAATGCAGCTTTCACAGGCTGATGCTGTGAAATCTATGGCACCTCCTGCTACACAAAATCATTATGCTGCAACTCTTCCAACAGGAAGAGAGGAAAATAGAAAGGGACTAAGCAATTACTTGGAATTAAATACAAATTGAGAACCAAAGACGGGGTGCTCCTTTCCACTCCCTCTTCAAAATGTTCTTACCCAGTCCACAGCACCTTCAAAACCTCATAAAACCTAGGAAAGTAAATGAAACATTCACTCAGCTGTGAACAAGAAGCCAACACCCACAAGGACTGAGGACAGACAACTGGAGTGAAATCCAAACTTGCATAATTCACTGGGAGCCAAAAGCTATCCACCCTTACCAGCTGTGCCCCTTTCTGCTCCTGCCCGTTTTCATCACCTTGTTTTTTTACAGCTGGAAGAGACAACCAGCTTCCTGGAGACTCCAGGCCAAAGACTTTGGGCCAAAGACAGGGTGGTCTGTGTGGAGATTTTGAGTGCTGCTGGTGTCAGGTGTCTGCTTCTGGTTCCAGGGCAGTGAGTCTCTCTGCACTGAGCATTGAGCGAGAATTTTTGTGTCACTGCGGAACCAGAACATCTCTCCCTCAAGTTCTTACATGAGTGTCCTGACAAAGTTTGGTCCGTACAAGGCTGGGGGAGTGCAGAAAAGCATCAGGGCTGTGCAATTAGAGGAAATTACCACCCACAGGTAATGTGTTAATCCATTCACTTTGGTGCTGGATCCTGAACTCTGTCAACATGAGTGGTTTAGTCACAGTGGAGCACCCCTCATGCAACTCTGTTAACTCAAGGAGCATAAAACTCTTTCCAGAGAGGAATTCCATACATTTTTATATAGACAGGAAAGCAGAATTTTGGCTTTTCTCTTTCATGTGAGAAAGTAATAATGAATGAACATTCATGCTGTAACTTCTTCACAGGATCTCTCAGGTAATTTCTGTGGTACAACAACCCTTAAATACTCTTACCTTTTGAACAGGGAGAACAAGGTGTTCATGATTTTTATCCTCTCTCCCTGCTTTTTATGCATTTTTCAAACATACTTTTATTTCTTCTAATCTGATGACTGTAGCACTCAGGATCAGTCAGTGCCTCAATCTGAGTTTTGTTTTTACTGTTGCACAATGCTTCAGTCAATGTACCTGACACAGCTGTGCTTTTGTTGAAGGACGTGTTGCAATCCCTCTCCAGTTCCTCTTTAACAGCAGCAGGACACTCCTCTGCGAGCTGCTTGTGCTCATCTGGCTCCCTGCCCAAGGCATGTCCTAGGATTCTTGTTCCAGAACATTTTGCTTTGCTCTCTCTTCTGCTCAAGGTGGCTCTGAGTGATTGTGCTCACATCCTTCCTTTCCTCCAATCTTTGTGTCCTTCAGTCTGAGAGCAGCCTGATGGATCTTCTTGGATGCTCCCTCTTTCTTCCCTTCTACCAAAATTTTGTCAGGGCTGCACAGGAGAAATAAGCCAAATTATATTTTTTCCCTTTGGGAATTAAGGGAGAAAACACTAAACACCATGGATTCCTTACTGACAGTCTGAGTGCTCCAGCACCTCATCTCACATGGTCATGGGCACAGTGCTACACTGAGGAGAGAAAAAAAAGTCTGCAGAGAGCAATGATGGGTAGTCATATCACAAAAATAAAGATCTTATTCATCTCCATTAGTCAAGTATTCACTGTGTAATCTCCCTGAAAGATAATTTTTTTTTGTTCACTGTTAAAATGCATATTTTGTGAATTGTGTGTGCACCTGGTGGTTTTTTTTATTTGTTTTTGTTTTTTGATTTTGTTGTTTTTGTCTTGGAAGATAAATTAAACACAATTATGGCACCTCTGTGTCCTGTATTTGAAATCTTCCACCCTTAAATTAGAGCCATTTCATAATCTACTTTCAGTCTGCTGCTTTTTGAAATAGAAGAGACAATACCATCTACGCAGATCCTTTTCTACTCTGCTGTTTGCATTTTTTTAACACGTGCTGCCCGGGGGAAAAATGGCATTTGCTGATCACAATGCCTCAATTACCATGTTGGCAGCTATTTTTTCTTGAGCAATGTATAGCTTTAATGAGAAAAGTGTGCCTTTAAATTCCAGTACATTTCAGAAGTTCATCTGAATTACTTCTGATGGGAGGGCACACATCACAGTTCTTTAGAAAATTGTTCAGCTTTTTCTGTAAAAGAAGAAAACATTTTATAATCAGTGTTTTTTCAGAGGAATGAGGAAAGACTACACTGTTTAACAAGCTTGTAAAACACTGAGTGAAGCCACATTATGCTCATTAAAATACCTGCCTGTCCCAAAATTTTGGTTTTTGGGACCAAACAGCGCCAGAGCTCCCATATGAAAGTCGGTGAACAGGGAGAGAGGAACCTCAGTGCCAATGAATAGCAGTGAACTTAAATAAAAACTTCCCCCTCTGATGGAAAAATTAGAGTTTAACTAAACATAAATCCTCAAGGGAAAGTCTCTCCAATTTAAATAAGTGGTGAAAAATAGTCCTGGCATTTTTTCAGCCCCAAAGGAAAAGTTTCAATTGTTTTGAGCATGTTGGTCTTCCTTTTTAGTTTCTAACCTTGGCAATTTACAAGACATAATCTTTGCCAAAATGTTAATACTTTGAAACTAAAATATTTCCTGCGGAAAAGCCTCATTTTTGGGATTATTCCACTTGTATGTGTTCTTTTCCTCTTTGTCTTTCCCTCTGTTTCAGAATTTTTAGTTTCTGAATTCTTGTCTGTGTGAGACACTTCCAATTCGAAGGCAGAAAGTCACGGAAAAATAGGATTATCTAAAACAGTTATTTTTTTGAAATGCTACAAATATTGAAAATTTTTCCAGTATCTCAAATATTCAGTGTTGGTACAATTTTTATTTTGAAATTAAGGAATATTTTTTGAACATAACATATATTTTTTCTGTCAAACATCCTGAACTAAACCTTCTAAGCACTGAGTCTGGCCAACTGAAGATGGTGTGAATGTAGAAGCTTCCCAATCCATGGCTCTGTTAGATGTCAAAAAAAAACCCCAAACCAAAACCAAGAACAAAACCAAACACAGAAACCCCAACAGCAGTCTAAATGCAACACAAAAACTAAAATTTGGATTAAATTTAATTATTAATTTTTCAGAGATGGCAAAATCCTTCTGAGAATGCACTGAATAATGCTCCCTCCCAGGAGTTCTGCAGTAGCTCTGGATCTTTCCCAGATTATTCTTATTAAATCAACTTGCTTCAAGCCTCAGTTACATTAAAAAATGACAAAAGTGAGTTGCATCCTCTAGTTAGAGGGCACAGGTGTTTTCCATTTGGGATAATCATCCTTTCCCAATGAATTAATACTTTGTGCAGCCTTGAAGATAGGGATGAACAGCTAAGAAAAAATATGAGCAAGGAAATCTCAAACCTCACCAATGGCACTATCCATAATAATAAATAAATAATAAAATAAATAATAAATAATAAAAATAATAAATTATAATATTATTATTAATAATATAATATAATATAATATAATATAATATAATATAATGTAATTGCATAACATATAATATATAATATAATCTACTATATATATTTTAATATTATTATATAATTTAATATAGTATTTAATACTATAATATATTATATAATATAAAAATTAATAATAATAAAATGAATAATAAAAGCTTACTTTTGATCCATAAAATCCTTTTTCTGTCTGCTAATTGAGGTTTCTGTTCTCCCCTGTGGAATCAAGTAGCAAAGGAAAAGTGGTGTCTTGAGCTGGTTTCAGCCAGCCCCAAATTCCCTTGTATTTTCCTCTCTAAAAGGGAAGTTTCAGATTAGAAAATTCCACTTGGGCTTGTTTCTCAGCAAAGCAAAACCACTAGACAAGAAAAGTGAAATTAGCTATTTCAACCATTTGGAGGTACATCTGCAATATCAGAAGAATATGTGAATTATCACAGATTGAATCTCTGGTTGAGTATGTTGTTGCTCTTATTTTTTTTTTCAATCATTTTGGGCTTTTGTTTTAGTAGCATATAAAGTAGACTAGAGGTTATGTTTTAAGTATGCAGCTATGAAATACTATGAGCTTCTACAACAATTTTTAAACATGAAAATTAAATGAACAGAATAATGCTTGCTAGTATTGACTAGGAAAAATAATTGTTCCTCGCAAACTATTATTTTCAGTTATGGTGGCTTTCTCTTGGCTGATTCAGGCCTGAGACATTTATCCAGTGGCTATCCAAAACAATCTCTGGAGTTATTTCCCTTTAGACTTAATTGTGGGTTTGGCTTTTTTTTTTTTTTTTTTTTGTGATACTATTTTCCCGGTGATTTTATCACTAGAAGTTTTTCTTCCTCAAAGACATTCTAGAGGAAAAGTCACATTTATTAAATACGGATTTTATGAACAAAGCTCATGGCTACAGAGACTAACGCTCGAGAAGATTTGTCAGCCTTAAACTGTGGACAGAAAAACTTAATGTCTTCTTGCACAAAGCAGAAAAAATTGGTGGCAAGAAGACAAATGGAGTTGTTTACCATGTTTAAAGATGGCTCAGGTAATGGTAGGAGAAATTCCATGAGTAATTTCACTGGAGAGAGGATGCTGCCCCAATAAAATGGCAGCAAGAAAAAATCAAGTTTACCTCTCAGAGACTGAGATAGTGGGATGAATAATGGTGTCAGGAAATGAGCCTTATTTAGCAAGTCCGAAAAGAGAAGGGTGTCTTTTGTTTTGTTTTGCTCTTGGGTTTTGGTTTTTTTGGGTTTTTTTTGAGGGAGAAAGAACAATTCTGTGGATGAAGATACGGCTATTTCCAGATCAGGAACAGAACTGTTTTGGATATTTTGACATCAAAGCCTGATGACCTCCCGTCCCCTTGAGGATCTTAATCGTGCACACCAAACAGGTCAAAGAAGAGCAACATGATTCTTCAATTATCCCTAAAGAAAGGGATATAAAAAAACTTGCAAGGGATAAACTTTTTTTTTTTAATGAGGAACTTGTGGATCATGTCTATGTATTTTTTGTTGGATCTGTTGCCTTGGAGATTGGAAGAATGCTGTTGATTGTGCCTTTTCCTACCAAATAAATGAATTTTTTATTTTATTGAGTTATGCTGGAAAAGCAACCTCATGTTTCTGTAACTTTTGCCATTCTTTATGCTTTTTTTCAGTGGGTCTGCCACTTAAAAAGGCATCTGTGCTCACTTGCAATACAAAAAAGGGCAGGTAGTAAGTGACATTTCCAGAGAGAAAAAAATTAAAAGGAGTGATGTGCTGTTGTAGTGAGATTTAGGTTCAGGAGGATGTCAGGAGAGTAAAATAAATCTGCTCCTACCAAGGACTACCAGGCACCTCAGATCTTCAACATCACCCATGGCCACAGCTTGACCAAGGCCTACAAATTTCAAGCATCTTTTTTTGAAGACCAAATGCCTTTGAGATATAAATAATTAATGCAGAAAAGCCAAAAGCAGAAAAAACAAACTCATGGAAATTCAGATATATTTAACCAAAGCCTGTTTCTGTTGCTGTTGTAACACAATTGTTTCCCTTTCTTGCAAATTTAGGTGTCTTCAGTAAAACTCATAAGCCCGGTGCTGATGATAAATCACCCAAGAATGCACAGCTATGCCAGAAGAAAAAAGGTCCCAAAATAAATACACTGTTTATTTTTATAGCTGTTACTTGTTCCTAAGCTCTTTCAAAAAATCACTCAACTTGCCCAGCCGACAGAATTTAACAGATTCTGCAGTAATTATAAGGCAGAGAGAAAAGGAAGCTGTCTTTTTTCTCAAGGTAAAGACAACAGGACATTCTCTGAGCACCTTGGCTTCAACATCATAATATTCAAGTCTTTATCAGCCCACAACACATTTTATCAGAAGATTAAAAAAATAAAAAAAAGTGATTGAGCTGGACCTGACAAATGGTCTCCATTATTTCATAATTATGTGCTGGCTAATTCTAGAAACACTTCTGTTGACATACAGGTCAGAATTTCAAAAATGTCCTGACCAAGATTTCTCATTAACCCAGGCTACCACATCAGCAAGGAAAGGATTCTCTGTGTAAGACTAAATTTTCAATTCTTCATTTTCACTGCTAACAGAAATTTTGGCCAAACTGGTTTGTTGCTTTCCTGGTGGCAAAACATAAGCATTTCCCAAAGAGTGTGGTGTGTTAATTTTCAGCCAGTTCTGGAACATGGCTTCTGAAGTTCTTGAAAATATACGTAATTAATGTAGCTAATACTGCTCCTCTGAGTTCTTTTTTTCATGCACATAAGTTCTATATTGCCGTAAAATTTGTTAAAATGACACGATACATTTCTTGATTTTATTGAAACACGTATTTTCCCCTATATAAAGCCGAAGACAAGAAATGGCGCTGAATTTGGAACGAAGCGTACATTTGGAAATGGCCATTTACCCTGGTAGCTTTGTACAAAATTCAGATGGATTGTAGTTTAATTACGTCCTATGCGTGTCTTGCATTACTCTTGAACAGAAACAATCGAGCATTTTGATTGAGTATTTACTTCCAAAACCCTTGACCTGGTTCCCTGGAATAGGAATTAGCTCTGAAAGTAGCATAAATTAGTATTAAATGCTGTAATAGTATCCAATTTGTACCTATAAGGAAGCTTTAATTAGTATCATTATAATCAGAAGAATGGTAACTCACATTATATTTCCTAAATGCTGATAAACTCAGCCTCAGCAGTTCAAAGTTTCTGGAAAGTCGCAGCTGTCAGGTGGTGGAGGAGAGTGAAAAGCGGAAAGAAATGTAAACGAAGGAGAAGGCACTGCCTGGCTAAAATGTCAAAATTTTATCTGTCTCAGAGTAAGAGGTTTTTCCCCTCTCTAAGCAAGGATGGCATCTTCCCTATGTTGCACTGTAGGGATTTATCCCACTGGGATAAAAGAATTTCACTGAAAGCTCCTCAAATGGGAAAACTCTTTTCCTCAGTGAGCTGTAGGCCCGCCCCCGAAGTTCCCCCATTGGGGCTATGTAAATTATTGCCAGAATGTTCTCTGTTCTTCCTCTTTCCATTGGCTACTTTTTACCGCAGTAATTATAATATTCCTAATCCTCTGTCTCCATTGGATTCTTCCCTCAGGCCCGGCCTTAGCTCCGCCCTGTACATAATCTATAAATATCTGTGCCTGAGGTTGGGCTTCAGTGTTTTCCAGGTCGATTCTGTCTTCTGTGTGGTGTTGTGTTTGTTGTTTTCGTTTTATGAAAGCTTTAGTGTCCGGATAACTGGATCGGATTTGTTTCTCCTATCGAAGTCATAACTCAGGGGTAATCCTGAGGGCAGTAGCAGCCGGGCCCTCTACCTGGGTCGGGGCCGGTCTGCTGAGGCCTTTCTAAAGAGTAACCCTGGAGGATCAGGTGTTCATTAAACGAGATCTATCTGGTTATTAAAGTGAGATCAGCATGCAGCTATGGGGTTTGGCTTGTTGTGCTGTTTGAAGCACAGCATTTTGCTTCTTCGTCTGTGGAGCTAACCCTAAGAGCAGCTGTGCTTGGCCCCTCAGTCACACTCTGCATAGCCAGTGCTGTGGGCATTCGCAATATATCTGCAGAAACTCCTTTTCACTTCAGGGTTTCAGCTCTGTGGTGACAGGGGAGACACTAAGGAGGGGAAAGATCTTGGGCAGAATTAACCTGTTGGGAATGCATCTTGGTGCAGGGGTGAAGAGATCAGACCTACGCACGCACACAAAATGTCCTTTGTGCACACCTTCATGTGCTTTTCTCCAGCCCAATCTACCTGTTTGCCTTAGGCTGTCTTCTGACTTCGGGTTTCAAGAAGTGGGTAGTAGTAGTTTCAGATGCAAAAATGAAAGGTTACTTGTCTCAGAAAGGTACTTCCCTTTGCCTCTCATCAGTTCTAGGGCAAACTTTCTATGGGTGCTTGGACCTGTATGAAGAATTCCTCATATGAGAGGGTTCAGGCAGGGAAAGTGTGGAAGTTTTCTTGATGTCTTGGTATCCCTGGGCTGCCTCTTGTGCTGGATAGAGCTGCTGTCCCTATCAAACCTGAGCACACTGCTGCAAGTTGAAAAAAATTAATCCAAAGGGAAAAAGGCTCGAGCTGAACTGTTCAGAGCTCTGTCTTTAAACCTGAAAAGAATCCGTCTCCAGCTTCTCTGTGAACTTACCTCTTAGGAAAAACCTTATGACAAATCCTCACATTTATCTGAGAACCTTGAAAGGAGCCAAAAGCTTTCACAAAACTGTGGTGAAACAGGTCTCGTCATGACACAGATCTGTACATTTCCAGATTATCCTGTGCTTGTACTGGAGTGGAATGAGACATTAAGGACTCAGCACGTTTATTTGGACTCCATTGGAAGCTTGTCATGACAAGACAAGCCATTATCAACCATTATTAGAGAAAGGACACTGTCTTCCATCCCTGGGTAGTTGCTTTTCTTTTGTTAACTCATCACTGGGTATTAGTAACTGCATTTATATCAACAGCAAGTGAGCATCACACAGAGCAAGGGCCAGATCATACACAGGTTTAATTTGGATTTGTGTCACTGAGCTTGGCATTTCTTCAAATGGCACTTGCTGAAACAACAATGAATAATCAGCACTTGAGGAGCCAGTGATGGGCTTTCCTGCAGAATTAAAAGCAATACCTTTGTCTTCCTTTGCCCTCTCTCTCGTTCCTCCTTTGAAAGTGCCAGGAAGTGTCTTCTTGCCTTTGGTGAAATCAGCAATGAGTTGTTCATTACGGGTGGTGAAGTATTTTATGAGTGTAAATCCTGTGTTTTGTATAAAT